TAGCATAATATCTGGTGTTTTTATATTAATATGGCATATAGAATCTCATTCTTCGTAGTCATTTTCTTGAAATTTCCGTCAATATAGTGTTAAAAAATGTTTCGATGATGTAGTCTTGAAATCTACTGCATATATTCAACCCAATCGTCCAAACTCACCATGCGGAGCTTCTTTCGTGCGACGCGAGACATGGTTCGATTCCGCAGTGCGCATCTCATTCGAACATGAGTTGAGAATTCATGACATGTTCTTGACGATGCAATTCGAAATAGAATGGATCAGTGCTTCTGCTTTCCCACGATCTACGAGGGCTTCTCCAATGAATCGAGGACGGTGTCTACGGAAAAAAACAGGGGGTCATGCCACCATGGCCAGCGCGAAAAAGGTTCTCGTTGCCGCCCTCGTTGCAGCTGTCGTGCTCAACATACAGACAGCTCTGCCTTCGTGGAGTTCTGAAGCCATCTCAGTTTGATTGCCCCAGGCTGAGCATGTCTCGCTTCCACACTGGAATTACTCGCCACAGCGCCCGTCCTATCGCTCGAGGCGAGTGCCGTGCAGCTTGGTCTGTGGGTGTCGTCCTGTCATTGTTCCCCGACTTCTTCTCTTGTATGCAGCCATTCTTGCCGGACTTCGTGTTGGGGGTCCTTCACCAAAGTAGTGATGATGACTGTACAGTCTGATACCACCAGCAAGTTCAAACTACTACCTGTCATGCATCTTCGACTGATCATCCACTCATAGCCAAGCAGCTCCAAGCAGAATCCCATGGATGTGCGATCAGGATTGACACGCTCAGGTCAATTGCGATAGCACCTCTGCATCCAGCAAAGTCGAGGCTAAGCAGTTGCATCGTGTTATTCCTGCAAATCTTTTGATGTCTTGCAGTGCTCAGTAGCTGCCTGCTCGACCACCATGCGTGGCTGCATTTCAGGATATGCTCGCTGTCCAAGCATGAGCACTGCATCCAAAAAGTCCTCATCAGCTGTGCTGACAGCAAGCCAGGGCGAGGTATGGTTCATGTCCGTTCCTGACCGAAATGCTCGATGTTAGCCACTGTAGACAAGTTGAATGCTTGCAGTTCTTGCCAAGCGTCGAACAGTCGAAGAGCATCAGGCTTCGTCTTGTCATGTGAAACCTCACATGACGGCTGACACTTCCAAACAAGGCTTGCCAGCTTCTCCGTGCTTGTTGTTGCAGTCAGGAATCAAAGCGAGTGGATCTGCAGCGCTGAGACAGCATGTCCAAGTCCTGCTTTTCCAAACCACCTGATGGCTCCAGCAGAACGAGTGTATTCAGACCTTCAAGCATTTGAAATGCTTCAACTTTTCATGTTGTTGAGGGCGTTGACACACGAGAGGTGAAGTTCCCACGCTTGCAGCTGGCAGTAGCGAACCCCTACACGCTGTCTGGGCGACCGAAGGTGATTTTTCAGATTCATCCGGCTGCCTTCCCCCAATCGCAAATGTGAGGGCCGTAGTTCACAGCTCCCAAGTTACATACTACCATTCCCGCCTGTACCGCACAAAGACCCGAAAGTACGTCGGAGGCCAGTGCTGGTGAAGGACTTGGAGGCTCCTACGAGTACATGCAGGCAAGGACACGCCACTCAACACACGAAAGCACAGCGAAAGCGCAAGAGACAGAAGGTCACTTAGATCTCCTCCGGCTTGATAGTAGAGTGCCTCGACTCGGGCCAAAAGTTGCCAGAGGCTGTCGTTGCTTACCGAGATAGGAATGAAATTCTCAGACTCGACGCCGCCGTCCGTGTCGATCCCAAGCAAGGCCTGGAAAGTTTCGCGCATAACTGCAGACTTTACCTCCAAGTCCACCAGTGACGTCTGATGACGGTGCACTTCAGCCATGTCCATGCACCTGCAACGCTTCTCTTCACCCATATCTGGTTCAACGGGAAGCGCTTCATCAATACTGATCGAAGGCGAATTATTCACCTCCAGCAAATACGCCTTGAAATCATGGCCAAGCATAACGTCGAAGCCCAAAACCTGAAAGCATCTCATCTCATCGGAACTGCCGCGCTGTCGATAATGACATGTCAACGTGGGCGCAATGATGCCAAGGATTTTCTGGGCCATCCCGAGCGCGTCAGCATAGAATGCCTGCACTCTGTCACAATCGCACCACGACGATTTCAGACAAGACTTCAGCTGATCAAGCTGCCTCAGCATCGAAGTCAGGATATTCATGGCAGAGCTGCCGCAGGCAGACTGTGAGAGGTCGCTTTGACGCAGTGTTGGCGTCACTGTAGACTTCCTCCACTGATTGGCCACCTCTTGCAGAATGTTTGCTGCAAGCTGCGACGAGTGAAACGAACTTGCCGATGCAGGATTGCCCAAGGCTCCGACAGTGCTCGAACTTGCTGCTGCGCTTGTTCAGCGAATAGTTTGTCAAATGTCCTGTGCTTCCCCCAAATCCTACCCTACCTGTCGCTGGACCTAGAAGTTCTCGAAGCAAGCGCATCACAGATCGGCATCCAGGACACCACATGTTAACACATATCCAAACTCACTCAATGTTCAGCCCCGTGTCCCATGCACCGATGCATGTTCCGCTTTGACGGCTGCTCGTAGGCCTCGAACTGGAGCAGGTACTTCACAGAACTCGTTCGCTGTCAATGCTCGTCCGCGGCAGGGACTACAGTATCGCACTCTGCTCTACGTTGCGCAGCGTGAGCTTCCAGCACCCGTCAAGGCCTCCGTGCAGAAGCGCGCAAGGCCCTCGCGGCAAAGCCAAGCTGCAGGAGGTTCAGTGGACGAGCCGCCCGCCAGGCAAACATACCTGGGCTCTTTCACTCAGACCTGGCATGTCTGTGGAACCTTCGAATTCCCACATGTGGCCGTGGCCGGAAATCCGAACAGGCTTTTGCCACTCAGAGGATGAGATGACCTTGGGGCTGAGATCTTTCAGGACCCGAACTTGAAGTCCAAGAAACATGCGAAGGTCAAACTTGAGCCCATGGAGAAGTAAAGGTTTGCTGATGTACTTCTGCACCACCGCCGCTCCACTTTGTGCAGAAAGCTTAATGTCCAGCTGATGCAAACCTTGCACCAAGAAAATGCCGTCGCCCTGCGAGCCATCTTCCGGTTTCACGATGTAGGTACTCTTGGACTTCTCCAAAACACTGCGAAGCTCTTCCAGTTGCTCTGGCAAAACCCAGGTGCGTGGATTGAATTGGAAATGTCCCTCAGGACACAGGCATTGACAAGATCTAATCATTCGTGCCAAGTTCCCCTTATCACACAACTCCGGAGCTCCGAAGTATCGCGACACCCAGCTCCGTGGGCCAAGTTGGGACCAGCGTTTCAGCAAGTCTGAGGTCTGCATAACGCAGAAGATCACGGGCCGCTTCTTGGCTTCATCCGCCGTCGCTGATGCGATGTCCACTTCCCGCCAGCCAAGGCTCGCAGCAACATGTGAAAACAAGTCCTTCGCATGCTTCCCCACACAATCCGTCGTGATCACCTCAGAAGAACAAAGCGTGGCAAATATCTAGTCATCTGCTCATGTGTGCGTTATTGCGATCAACCAACTAGATCGCCGCATACTCTTGTGTCGTAACGCTTGGCTTGGTCCCAGGCACCGTGAAAGGGCTGCCTCTCGTGCTTTTATGCCCTGAAGGCTTGGAGGGCGCAGTTGCTGGAGATTGCCCAGGCGGCGCGGGCGGAGGCGGAGGGACGGGAGGAGGTTCAGGAGGAGGCGGAGGCGGAAGTTCAATTGGCTCTGCCTGGTCATCGGCTTCTGTTCGCAGATCCACGACGTCCAATGCCTCTTCCGGATGCATGCTTGACCAGCGTGTCGTCAGTGTAGGCCCGGTTGTGTCCTTTCGCCTGCATCTGCCTGCAATCGCCTCTCGTGCTGTTCATACACATGCAGGCCTGGCTCAGAATACGGTGTGCTATGCAATTACTTTGACGCACATCAATGATTCCATCTTTCCATCACATGCAATGGGCTCTACTACTGTCCCGGTTGCTCTCAATGATTGGACATGACTGCGGTCTTGGTCGATAATACATGCAGAGTCTGCAGAGTCAGAAACTGTCTGATCACAAGCGCTTGCAGGATTGCCGCCGCCTATGCGAACATGCTGACATGACCAGATAGTTGATTGTAGTTTCACGAGTCAGTAGCTACAGCTGAAGCCATGTTCGTCTTCCTCCGGTCTGCATTCCTTAAACTCGCTCGCGAAATGCGTTTTTTTTCACATTCGGCAAGCCACCTTACGCAGACCTGTTGCCGCGTTGCCAGATGCGCTGCCTGTCAGGACGGCTGAACTTGGCAAAACAAGCAATAACTTGATGAGTGCAGCGGCAGCTGCAATCGCGGCAGTAGTCAATCCTTGTCCCTAACTAACGGAAGCAAACGACTCTTGGCTGATTGGCTGTGAGCCGAAGAGTCAGTGACTGTGGTTGACATCTGAGCCGAGCCAGCGGCCGATTCATGAGATCTCGTCTGCATTGCGCATAGCCCTGCCCAAGCCAAGAAAACCCGCTCGCACGCACAAAAAGGCGCTGAGGTCTGCAACGTGCCTTTCGCAACCATATGCACTCCTGTGTAACGTACTCAGGATCGTTGGAGTTGAGGCACTCCTGCAGAGCACACATCAATTGAAAAGAGCTGCCGTTGTCTTGCAGGTCTCGGGAATTCATCGCGCTGCTGAAGTCCTCGAAAGGCGCACCCTCTTTGTAACATCGGGTGCCTTCGTAGCACTGCAGCATGTCCTGGCATTTACAGCAGGCTTAGTTCTCTGGGCTTCACAAGCGCAGTGATGATCCGGGTTTCAGACTTCGCGGATTCGCGTACCTTCCAGCACGGCCGGATCTGAATCATCTATTGTCAAAGCTGCAGCATGACCTCTACTAGGAGTCCCAAGTTCTGAGCTCCTGGCAAGAGTTTGACGGCTTTCTGTGCGGCTTTGCAGGGTCGATGGCGTAGGAGCCCGGAGGAAGCCAAGGCTCTTCCTGCAGAGAACGGGCCCAAAGAGTCCGAGGATTTTTGACATGATCAGTCTTTCATTCTTGATTGCTCCTCGCCATTCCTCCCTTTCTCTCTCTTATATGTACACGTGTACATATTCATTCACACACTGTATCTCTGTATCAGGTTAGTGTATAGCCATACAGTAAACGGGTAGGGGCAAGCAGTTGACGAAACGAAGAGTCAGCAATTACTAGCTGAAACCATCTCAATCATCATCGTCTTGATCTTGACATGTCTGTACCTCCTAAAACGACGACAACACTTACCTCTTCTTTGTCCTCTTCTGCAACTGCTCCCGCTACCGCTTCCGCTGCTGCTTCTGCCTCTGTGGCCACCACCAATACAACCACTAGTACAACGAGTATTCGTGCTAGTGCTAGTACTAGTCTTAGCACCTCTAGTACTAGTACGATACCAGCGCCAGTACCAGTTACATTACGAGTATTAGTAGTTGTAGCAGTAACACTCGTCGTTGTAATTAGTGTACCGCCACTGCTATTGGTACTATTTACTAATATTTTACTAGTACTACGGGTACTACTGAAGGGGAATGACGACGCTACAACAAAATCAGCAGGAAGAAGCCGCAGTGCAGAAGCAATCACTATGATAGGTGGAACGTCTGCCTTCTTTCTCGCTTCGCTGGAATCGGGAGCAGCCGATGCCTCTCACAGGTGGACAAGGCATGACGACGGTGCACTAATGCAGGGGTCTGGGACTCCTTCAGAGACTCTTTCAGTTTCTATCTCATGTCACGGACACCGGCATGTCTGTAGTAAGATCCCGGCTGCCACGCTGGAAGAGGATTGCCCCATTCCCGCCACGATGTTGTAGAGAACTTAAGAATAGGCTGTGATGTGGGTGCTGTTCAAAAGCACAAGTGACACTGTTTGTTCGTGACTGCAGGACAATTGGTACGTTTGCTTGCTGACGAATCGGCCAGTGGTAGTTGCAGAGTCGCGGATAAGTTGCAACAACGTCAGACTGTTGCTAACAGACTTTGAGCCCGGTTGTCGCCTGAGGAACGTTGCGTCGCTTGCGCTCTGACGGCGATCTGCATTTCTAATCTCAGTCTCGTGACATAACATGTAACATGAGGAAAGCTTTCTAAGCAAAAATTAAAGTAGGAGTGGGCTGTGGTGGCGGTTACGAAAGCATCTGCCACCTCTTCATAATTCGATAAGAACGATGTGTCCGTGAAGTGATGTCCACGGATCCGGGTCGGAGTTGCCAACTGTTTCGGCACATTCTACAAAGGGAAACAAGGAGAGATTCGACCAGGGGATATGTGGGCAACCTCAGGGCAAGCAATGCGAAGCCGAACACGTACACGCGTTTCTCTCGAAGCGAGCTGATTCCACCCTACTGCATGTAGCCGCCACTGCTGCAGTGGTTGCCACTCAGCTGCGGCTTGCCAAGGAGGTTCGCCTGCTGATTCAGAAGCAACACGTAAAAATCGTTCACTTCGCTAACCCGCCCACAAATCAGGGGCCAGAAGCAAGTTGGTGCACAAGCATTCAGGACGTAGCCTGCAAGATTATGCTGCCCACACAAGATGTAATTCGATTGCCAGTGGCCTGCCAAGGTGCCGGGTTGACGATTCGAACTTCGAACAAGATCCACAACGATCCACAAAGTAATCTGAACTCCACAAAGTCTGTCCGACTGCTCACATGTCAGTGGTGATGTGACTTTTCCATCACGCACGCCGCCGACACGGTGCGCATCCAGATATCGGAGACACTGCACAAGTAGGGAGGAAGCAGCTTTGCTACATAACTCGGCTCCGGACACCTCTCAATCCACCTCGTCCCTCTGCACCCCCCCACACCCCCTCCCCCAACACGAAGTGAGAATCCGGTGAAGCAAACAAGCGGGGGTGCCGTAAATTGATACCATCACTGATAACGATCTGCAACGCCGCTGAAGCGAGACTTAACTCAAGCCTCCGCTCCACGACTCCACAGCTTTCGTGATGATGATGATGATGATGAAGATGACTACGACGACGACTACTACTGTTACGACGACTTTGCTATCTGATCCTGAAGGATTCTCCACTCCGGTATGCATGCAGACAGGCAGCAAAAAGGGTGCAGCCGAAACCCTTCCTTCCAAGCCCGGGCAGCCTCCTGCGTTGCCACGGCGATGCGTTGCAGGAGGGTGGCATCGACTTGCTGCTCCTAGCGGCTCTGCAAAGTTAAGCGTGATTAACAAGTGCTTCGCCCTGTAGCCGTGAGAAGCAGAATTTCGTCGGCATTTTGCATACGGTGTTCACTCGAGTAGAGCGAAAGCGCCTGCCCACCCCGTGCCCCGTACTTATGGAGGCTGCCTGCTTGGCCAAGTAGGTAGCAAGAGCACTTTGGAGATCTAGCTCCGCGAGTGGATCCTTGCCTCAGGCTCGGAGTTCAGTTATTCAATTGGAATGTTCTCCTGGAGGAGCTACTATAAGCACAGCGCTAGAAAGCCACACCCTCCAGAGCAGAAATCAGTATATTTTGCAGGCAAACGGTGTCAGCACGACCGGATGGAGCCAGATCGTCAGCTAAGGACTTTCTGGGGCTGCAGCGCTCTAGAACCTGCACGCAGAGGCGGTGGACTTGCAACTTGAGAAGATGGCCACGCAAGCTAGGGCAACAAACGGAGCAGAGTCGATAAAGCTCGGTCGGTATTGCGCGCATGCTCGGCAGCATGGACGCAAAAGCCTTTAGTATTGCCATGAAGCTTCAAACCTGCAACAAGATACATGTAGCATTCTTCTGCATTTCACCCGTCCACATACAGAGACACCCTTGTCGTTCGTTGCGCTCCGTTCACCCGTCCACATACAGAGACACCCTTGTCGTAGTACCTTGACAGACCTCGTTGCGCTCCGGAACGTCCCTGCATAAGCAATAAATCGGCCATCTACGAGCAGCTTCGACCTGTCCTTGTGGTGGCATAGCTAATTACTACTGAGGCATTCAGACACGTAGATGCCCTTGGCCGCGTAAAGACAAGATGCAAGTTGTCTAAACAGATGGACCTTAAGGCCTTGAGGTGGTGGAGAAGGCGCAGGACGCAGGCTCCACAAAGTTAGCTTTCGTGAGAAATGTTTGTTCTGTTCCGAAAACGCAGTGTATGACTCCAAACTTACCAGTCGAGCCCACAGCACCCATGTTCGCAGTCCCCCAACAGCCATCCATCCCTCTTTGGCGTAGCCTGAAGAACAGAAAAACTGGGTCCGGTCCGGTTGTGAGGAATCGACCGAATCCTTAACCCGGGTACACACACACAAAGGCAGAAAGAGGGAGACACAGATAAACAGACTGATGGATGGACATAAGATGCCCATTGGATCCCATGCCTACCCAACAGTGCAACATTAGAAAAGCTCGTCTGTCTCTTTTCCGTCCGGCAATTCGAGGTTTGGCCCAGATGGGCAGCCCGCGGAGTGCTTTCAATACAGAAAGACTCAAACACTGGGAACAATGGTGCGCATTGTCGAGATTCGCATCCTCGTGTTCAACAGCAGAGGAACCGCGATCGGAAAGGTTTCGGAACTAATTAGGCATATTCCATCCTCTGGTGCTGCCCGTATAGCAGCAGCAGGGAATGCAGCTTGTACGCAAGTTACAGAAGCTGTTGCTCAAAGCCCTGTGCTTCGCACAGGAGATGCAGGCAAATGCCAATAATGGACAAGTGTTCAATCTGCAAACCAGGGATAGCCCCCTTGTCTGTGCACCAATTACAGTTGAAAAAGGTCAGTCGGTGTTGATTAGGCTCGAAAGCCGCCTTTGAATTGCTGGCTGCATTGCCCGGATGAGTGCAGAAGGAGCAGCTGCCGCCAAGTTACCACCAGTATTCTGCTATTACGGCGAGGCTTCACAGGAACGATTGTGTAGACAAGCCAGTCCTCCCACGTGGAGACCTCGCCGGAAAGTATCAGCTTTGTGAGATTTCAGGGTTTGGCACTTCCACACCGCCAGCATGCGACGAGGCTTCTGCAATGCAGCCGAGGCACGCAAGTCCGACACTTCATCATCCTCCATGGCGTTGAGCTCTCTCACGAAGACGCGTGCATACATGTAGACCTTACTGCGGACCTCCTTGTGCACGGATACCAGCTCTAGCAAAGCTTGGTGGCTCAGGCATAAGAGGGTGGCTGGCGTCTCAGACATCGCCTTTCCCATGTAGTGCCATGAAGTCCAAAGGCAGGCCTCACACAGCCAATCTCCCACTTCCAGCTGTGAAGCGGACAAAGGCTGCCTGCCATCAATGGGAAGAATCGATGCCCAGGATCGCCGTCGGAAGCTGCCCGACACAACCGGCTTTGACACCAGGTCGGGTGACATCCCCAGCATGGTGCGATACCAGATGGTACCACGAGCCACAATTAGCATGCTCGTGCAGGTTGGACCGGCTGAGAAGAGGGTTTCGTGGGGCGATAGGTTCCAATCCGACAATGCCTTGTGACATAAGTCGTACTGCAAGGCCACAAACCCACCAACCAGCCGGCCGAAAAACTCGTGCTTGGCAAGAACCGGGGAGAGAGCTTCACGGCACAACTCACGGTACAAATGTTCCGGCAGTACTTTATCCATGTCCGCCTTGCTTGGCACCAACACGGTTCGTGTACTCCGTTGCAAGTATTCCCTCATGCCGCTCTCTAGTTCCCACGAAACTGGGAAGGTTGATAGGTAGTCTTCAACTTGATGCTGCGCTTCGGATCTTGTTCGGTGCGCCCGGCGAATGTCGGAGAGCTCGTTGGTGATAACGGATGTGAAAACTGAACCAATGAGAATCGCAAAGCCTGTCGCCAGCAATGCAAGTATCCTCTCTGTCTGTGTGCTCAGGAGCATATTTTCAGTCGTCCGTGAAGCAGGCATACGGGACAGGGCCCACTCAATAGTCTTCAGATACTGCTCGGGCACAGACAGTGCTTCCAGGCCCCTCCCCGCAATCCAACCATCAGGCAGGGAGCCCACGGCAAACCAAAGGCATGTCGTGTAATGTAAGAACATTGCACACCTGAGCTGGAGATTTCCAACTCTTACAGATCGGCATGCGTGCCGCGTCTCCAACCCGGAAAATCCAGGCTGCGAGGCGCAAGCCAGCAGCAAGATCCAGAAATCCTCACAACTGCAGGCGAGTTGCGAAACCAGATTGATCAGGAACATGCTGACGGCATGCGCTTCACGCGTGTGCTGACGATTCCACCGGCGGACGCTCCTGTTCAGTGAGTAGCATGCGAGCCGCGCACATGCAAAGCTCAATATCACATAGCAACTTGATGCAACTTGAGAACATACGCAACACCCAGTGACCAGCCAGTGTGAGGCCCCTGCCAGGCCTTGGCAAACCCGAAAGTGCATATAAATTTGGAAGATGTCGAAGGCGTGTCAGTTGCAAGCCTCCCAATGCTCAGCCAGATGGGCAAGGAATAAGCGAGGCTGCCATGCATAACATGCATCCGACCACAGAAAAACATGTGGGGACCCGTAGCTGTGCCGTGACCCATTTTGCTGCAAATCTCAGGCTGCTTCGCCGTCAAAACAGGTTGCATGCCGCCTATCTTCTTAGCGCATGGGTGCACATCAAGTCACAGCAGGCGCAGCGGACGCACTAAATGAGACCTCAAGCCCCCTCTACAGTTTTTCAACCATGACATCTGGAGCCCTTCTCCAAGATTGTTTCAGTCGGCAAACTCTTGCTAAGGCAGCGCCGTGCTCAACATGATTTTTAGAATCCAACCGAAGTTGCTTCCACAAGGATGATCGACAGAGTCGCCGTACATGGAATAAACATTTGTAAAATAACACTTTATGGAAGATGACGGAACAGCCGGCAAAGCCGCAGGGAACACAAGTTGCCTGTTGATAACTGTCAGATTCTGGCCAATACTTCGCACTTAGCATGCATCTGCGAGGGCCTTGACAGAGCATCTTCAATTGCGGCGGAAGTGCAATCCCCAGATCCTCAGACGAAATCTTCCGTCGTGGCGAAGCCGAATGTGCAACTGAAGCGTTGCTGGAACGAATGTGCCTTTCGGCTTCGGTGCAACCGCAGAGGAAGCCCTTGCCTCAATGCGACCTACAGTACAATGTACCGTTACTACAGGGAGGGGAAACGTAGCTTTGCCAAGAGTCCATGAGCAGCAAGGCATTTAGAAGCGTCTCAACTGCAGCTGCTCTGAATGCGTCAGCAGAAGACGAGACCTGGCCAGTCCAACGATATACCGCCACCGGGAGTGTCATCACCCAAAACAATGCCTCAGCGGGCCAGACCGCAGACAAAGATCCTGCTAGAAGCTACTGATAGCATCTGCTAGCAGTTTGTGACCACGTGCGGACACGCAGCTGTCGTCACACTGATAGCATCCACCCAATGGATTTCTCTTGGCAGGAAGGCCACCAACGGCAAGGCAGCAGCATGAAAAACAAGACTGAGAATTGCAACGACAGCCCACAAACGCGCTATGCTGGGTTGCCTGGACATGTCGTTTGCCCTGGGGTTCAAGCTATCTGAAGGCACTGATGACTGACATCGACCCGCTTTGGAGACCTGCTCCTCTCCGAGTCGGCGCCAAGCGTTGTGCATGTCGAAGCGCTGGCTCACAACAGAAGCTTCTGAAGCAAAGTCTCCAGGTGCTTCCATGTCCTTCTTGCCGTCTCCTTCTTGCCCCTCAATGAAGGAAACGGTTCTTTGCCGCGAGCGGCAGCGCGCAGAGTCGACTTGACATGGCTGAAGTGGCTCAATAGATGGCAATGACTCGCTGTGAATAAGAGCGGCCGATTGCCCCAGTGGCTCGTGGAGCACACCGCTGCTCAAGCTTGGGGCAGCCGAGATGGCATGGGAGTTGGAAAAGTCCGAGTGTATGCGGCTCGGATATTCATCGCCGTTCTCATTTCTGTGCTTCGCCACACGGCACTCCACGTTAAAGTCATGAGCTGCTAGAAGCTTCCTCAGATCAAGAAGCAAAGTGCTGCCAGATTCTCCCAGCACCACCAAAAAGAAAAGATACATATGACATAGCGCTTGCAGTAACAGGATACAAACTTTCGATGAGCCATAACAGCAACAGGAACACACAATAGAATCAGCAGTCATACTCGCGACCGTAGCCAGATACGACCACACTCACGGCCAAAGAGTTTCCACGCCCTAGCCCTGCGTACCCAACAGCAATGCCAACACCAGTCCTGGTTTTGCTGCTTCTGCCCAGATTCTGAGGATGACCCACCCTCACTGCCCGTTTCCGCCCTTGAGATGTGCTCAGAAAAAACCAGTCACCAAGGATCGCCACCGCCAAAACAGCAGCAACAGGAAGCAACTCAAAGCAGCCGCAGCAAACGTCTCAGTGCAACATGTAACCGTGGCACCCGCCCACGGCCATGCCCCTTTTAAATGCAATCCTTAATTGCAGCTGTGGCTCGTCAGTAGTGTCTCCTTACAAGAAGGTCATAAGAAGGTCTCGGAAAAGAGCGCAGTTCTACATGACCCAGGGGTTGTGCAGGCTGGCCGGCTGCTGAAATGACTCTGTGCCGAGACTACAGGTACGAGTAGACTGATCAGGGACATGGCCGGGTCGGTATGCGTCTTTTCCTCTATGGCGACGTGGGATCTATCTATCTTGGCTTCGCGAACTTGTTGTTGTGCTGCACATTGTTGCACCACCGAGCCTACACTGCGTGGACGGGATGCAGTGCACTCTTTTGGGATATATTGTCAACAACATCTTAGTCAACCATGCAACAGGTTGCTCAGCTTCTTGAAGGCTTTGAGTCGAGGCGGTGCAGTGGTGCCGTCGACAAGCGGAGCCTTTCCGGTCCGTTGCACGGCTCGGAGGAGAAACCAGCAAAGCACAGCCTGTTTCCTCTGAAGGTTGGCCCCTTCGAAGAAAATTACCGTTCACCAAGTCCCTTTACTGGCAAACTCCACATAAGGTGAAGGTGAGTGGCGATCTCTGAGAGAACCTTTGGCAAGGTGATTTCCTCTGCCATGGCAGCCGGGTACTCTATCCTCAGGCTACCACGAAAGCTTACCTAGCTCGAGACACTTTGCGAGTGTTATGGAGTTCGAACTGGACAAAGGGCGTCTGTGCATCTAGATTACACGGTTGAAGCCTTGTGTTGGGCTTGGCGCCGTTCAAAGCTCACTGGCTTGAAAAAGCTTCATTCCTTTGACTTGAGTGTAAACTCATGCAAAAGTAATACCTCTCATGGCTACTAAGTCCTGAGCCGACCTACCGGGGAGCGATTTCTGCTGAATCGAAGGGAGCTGGCTAGGAATCATAATCCCTGGAGTAGCTGAGGATATCCAAGGCTATAAAAGGCTCGGATCCTATGTGACTCTTCCCCATGCCGGTCTCTCGATTTCCCCTCGGATGAGCGCTTGCAGCCTCCGAGGCTCAACAACGAATTAAATCATCCTTCGAACAGCTACAGGGCCTTGGTGCACACCTCTCGTATGCAAATTCTGCGCCTGGCTTCGGTAGAAAAGCCTTGACGACACAGTAAGACTTTGCATGCGCGGGCCACATGCAGCTCATCTAAAGCATGGCCATCTACTGGAGGCCTTTTCGACCGTATTTCGACAACTCGATGCAGCACAGCTCACTTGGATTCCTCGCGCCACTCCGAGAGCCAAAAGACTGAGCTGCTTGCACTCGCACCAGGCCCTGAGCGAGGCTTTTTTTGGCTTGGGACAGGTCTCAAGCACTGAGAAGTTGCTCTCCATTCTCCAATGCCAGGCACAGGTGCGCTACCTCTGTGCAGAACGTGCTTTGCACTCGCCTTCCTCGTAGACCTGAAAGCTGACGCCCAGCCCGCCTTGGAGCAGGTGCCCCAGTTCTGCCAGCAGGGGCTTCAGGGTTGCGTCCATGCCCTCGGGAGGGCGGAGGATCACCACCACTGACTTCGTCAATGACGCCGCCTGAGCACATAGACAAGAAATTCAAGGCACTTGCTGTCAAGTGTCATTCATTCTTGATGCCCGAGAGATCATGTCATGCATTCTTCAGAACATTGCAGGGCAACAGCCGAGAGCACAAGTCAATGGCCGATGGACTCGCTCCATCGCCGATGATCTGCTGACAAAAAGCACTCGGCTTCAGGAGCTGGAATTCGGCCACCAAAAGGTCCCCAACATCCTGGCACACCAACGAGCACAGGAACATACGTCAAACACTGTACTGTTGGCCCGCTGTCCAACTGGTAGAGCTGCGCGTAAAGACTCTGCATCTGGTCGGGGGTAAAGCACGGATACCACACCTGACACTGGAAAAGCGACACAGCCCCCAATCGTGAATTTGACTTTGGACTGTAGGTCGGGGCAGTTCAAAACATTCGCATCCGCTCCGCTCTAATTCTCCGGACCGGCTCGCAAGTGGCGGCATGGCCAATTCTGGGCGAGCTCTGCAATGAAAACTTGTCGTGGTTGCACTGCTTTCAGCCTACTTTTGCATGACCAGGCGCAGCAACGCAGAAGCGGGAGAATTCATGCAAGTGCCTGCCCAAACGGAAGGGGTCTTTCAGGCTTGTTTTACAATTCTATCCGCACTATTGTCTTCGCCAACACTTTCCAGCAGCAGCGAGCTCCAACAGTTGGACTGTACTGTTTCTTGCTCGTTACTTCTGTGCATGGCCATGAAGGGGGCATCTCACACTTTCCTCTCGATCTTACACGCCTCTGTCCCTTCTCGCACAAGTGCTTCCAGAAACAAAATGCCTCAGGAGGAACAGATTCCAAGCGGTGTACTCGTTGTACGGCTCATATGGGGGATCCATGAGGATCAACCCGTTGCCCCGCTGGTCCTGTCGAGCACTAGGACCGACATCATATTCTGGAACAGCACCGTCGTTTTGGGCTTGCTCCAAACACCTGCGCACAGGAACACCTGCTGTCATCAAATGTGTGATTTCATGCGGACAAAGCTGTCGTCAAAAGTCGGGAACATGCATCCTCTTCCATGTGGTGAAGCAGCCACCAATAAGAATTTTCCTGAGACGGAGGCGAGAAGCGTCTGCACAACAGCAATCAGCTGCATAAGATACGCTTTGTATTCTGCAAGCGTGCCGAGCATCTGCAATCAGCTTCACGCTGCCGCCGATGCCCGAATTGAAGAACTGTGCCTCGTCGGCTGGCTGATCCGGGACTTACGAAACACGACGGCAAACCAAGCATCCATGCACAATTTGCAGCATTGCGTCAGCATCTTAGTCGTGCTCTTTGACACAACAACGTTTTCTGACCAGACCGTGCAGGTGTACGGGCGTAAACACATAAGTCGACACATGCATGCATCCGTGCGCACCACGAAGATGTAAATGTACGTGTATGTACAATATGTCGTGTATGGCATGGATAAGCAGGTGGGTAAAATTTTCCGCCATGACAACCCCAGCAAACACACATTGGCATCAGACCGCCTGCATTTGTCTTCACTCATACATCAACATGTAGTGCATGGCTACACACCTGGCATACAATGCGATCTGTATAAACATCGCGTGAATACTTATCAAAATTGTGTTGAACCTTCTGCGTGATGTGTATGTCAAACATTGTATTCATGAACATACAGCCTTACTCAGACGTTGAGCTGCGCGACCCAAGTCACAGCACTTGCAGTTTTGAGGCACTGCTTTGCTGCAGCAATGCTCCCATATTCACTCAGTTCCAGTGCAGGCTGGCAGCCAAGTCCTCGTACATGGTGCTGGCAAGCTCAAAGCACACGGCCTTCGATGTTGCGTCGCATCGATGCTGCCACAGTCTAGACAGGCTATATATGTTTGGGCTTTGGAACCTACGGTAAGTCCTCACTCTATCAATCTCTTACCTTCTTAGGTAAACGCTGGCCTGATCACCGGGTCTCAGCCAGCGTGCAGCCAGGGCTGGAGAGCCCAAGTAGTGGCGCAGGTGTCCTCCTGCACTTTCAAGGGACTCGCACTTGCCCGACACAGAGAAGAGAAGGCTGTGTCTGTTCCGGCTGTCATCAGGTGCAGGGCTGTGTCTACTGTCATGAGCTGCATGCAGAGAACAAGCCCGGAAGCTTCTGCTCAAAGCCTGAAAGCAGCAGCCGGCCTTGTTCGACCCCGTTGTAGCTGCGCAACTGTGCGAGGTATTGGGTCAAAGTGAAGCACCTCACTTCGCCGTGCTGAAACCCTGCTGCCATCTGCCAACCCCCGGCAATGTACCACCCGCACATCCAAATTCAAATTCAGGGGCCCGACCAAGACCTGTGAAAAGGTAGTTGAGAATCCCTACTACTACTAGTACTACTACTACTACCACTACTACTACTAGTCTAGAGTCTACGTAGAGTACTCTACGAAGATTTTGCCGAGGCAGGAGCATCTTCGGCGGCCCGCGGTCCAGGAGTTTGATTCCGTGCTCGAAGGTGCTGTCTTGCAGTGCCTGCAGCTTCAGCAAGGGCTACGACTTGAAGCCAGACATCCACATGCTTTACTCAGCTGCATCGTCATGCATCTTGTTTGTGAAGTATCACGGCAGTCCGGTGGCTTCAGATTTGAGCCTCGCAGCACACACTCCACAGGAAGCGGCTCCACATGCAAGCAAGTTGCACCATCCATGGTCAAGTCATACACTCCTCGACCCGCATGGGTGTCGATGTAGGTGAAGCGTCCGGGCTCCTTGCAGGTTCTATCTCACCACCGCTACTGGGCTGCTTCGTAGACGCCATCTGATGCTCCTTCGTAAAGCTCGTCAACAATGAGATCAGGACGGCGTGCTTGAAGCAATCCTCTCACTGACTCAGGCGGCTCTGCTGTCGTGGTAAGCCCGCGTTCTCTTAGTCTTCTGACTGAAGATTTCTTGCAACTGAGGCACTAAAGAGCTGCCAGCCTGGCTGAGATGGTCGTAGCGGCATTCACTGAAGCCTAGGCTCGGCATCGGCCCGGCACGGATGATTCGTGGCTGGGCCCGACAGTGGATGGCCTCCCTCCAGCTTAGCCGGTGCAAGTCAGTCAATCAGCCAGTCGGTGAGTCAGAAGCCTAGCGTGTCTGCGTGTGTGCGTTTGCGCACACGAATGCTCCGGCCAAGCAGCCATCGATTCCGTGCGCAACCATGTCCTGCACGACATGGAGGAACCACATGTAAACACTACAGTCACTACATGCTGCCCAAGCCATGCACAGCCATGCAGAATCAAAGGATGCAGCGGGCGAAGGCATGCGCAAGCGTGGCTCCTGTACCACCTCCAACACGCGTTCCCATTGGCGACTCGCCTGTCTGGAGAACCGCAAGGACTCGGGGCGCATCAACAGGGATAGCACTGGCTAGGACCGCAAAAACTGGAGGTCTCTAGGTCATCTTAGTCCTAGAAGCCATGGTCTATGCCATGTCAGCCTTGGCCAAACACGGCAAGACACGAAATGTCGCTTGAGTTCAGGGCCTACGCACAAGTTCTTCTGGCTTCCTCGCTTATTTTCACCATGATGCAAAAAGCAGCCACCCTCGTGACAGATTCACGGCTTGTGTGCAATCGAGGCTCGTAACAGACATTGAAAAGGCAGTTGTAACCTCAAGAAGGGGAGAGGGGAGAGACAGTGTCCACCGTTGGTTGCTCTAGGTCGGGCTGGGAGCTCCAAACTCGCTTTCAGGCACGACGCAAGCGGATTCAAAGCTCGACAAAGAGCCCAATGTCGCTTTGCACAGCTGAGCTGGAAACTCACCAGATCCGGCGCGACGTCCAAATGCCTGACCGCACAATCGCACAAAGGACACAGCAGTGACGGCGACCACAACAACAGCAGCAGAAACGTCGGCACTACATCAACAACAAAACCACAGCAGCATCAGCATCACCATCTTCAGCACCTTCATGACCATCATCATGATCATCGTCATCAGCACCACCTTTCCTCCCGCCTCGAACTAGAATCATAGTTACATTAGCCAGTAAGTTCTGTACCATTACAACCACTACCTTGTCCATGTGCTGGTTTGAGTACTTCTATACGATAACCGTGCATATTAATATGATTTGTTACGCTCGCATCGTCATGTGGAGCAATCATCAGTTTCCGTGTCCGCGCCTCATGTCTTCCAGGAGCTGAAAGGCCTGCTGCCAGTGACCGCCAGCCTGTCTTGCAGCTAGAGCTGGGTGACTCTCCTACATCTGGCCGGGCACACCCGAAGTCGCGAACTTTCAGAAAGACTAGCTGCTGCTAGACGCGGCTTCGAGCGCCGCTGTCAGATGGAACTCGACGTCGCTAGCGCTTGCACATTGAACAAGCAACGCTGTTAAAGTCAGCTGCCTCACACACACCGATAGCCGTATTGAAGCTGATGACCTGCGCACGGTCACCGCTTGAGATACTCTCTTGCACTTGGGCTGAGGACAGCACGTCTGGGCGCAGCTTTCGGGTCCGCATCGACTGGAGCAACGCGAAGACCTTTGCATGGTTGCGTGTTATGCATGCCCCGCTCAGCTTGGGCGTCCCTTGCACAATTTCCTGCAAAGCTACATTGCGATTGCTGTTGATGAGCATCTCGCACTCAGTCTGTTCACTGCGCCATGGACGGATGCAATCGTGTGATGATGTAGCTGCAAGTAGGCGCACACAGTGCTCATGTGTCCGCAAAACGTACAATGCTAAGGCGTGAACGCTTTCCACGTTGTTCCCGTCTTTGAAATGGGCATTCATGGCCGTGTTGAATGTCGTGGTGCTCGGCTCAACGTCCTTTACAACACAACTTATGACTCGGCATGACAGCGCTTTGCAAGGTGCTCTTCTGTTGGCCACTGAATTGATCTGAATTGCGGGCATGTTTCTCTGGCTGCCATCTCCTTCCGGCGAAAGCGGAAAGGCTGACACAGCAGAGAGCACACGGGATCGATTGTGCACGCAACAAGAAGGCACACTCTTGCAGGATCAGATTGCGGGGCGCTGAGACAATTTCTGCTGACGCTCCTCCAGCAGCGCAGCTGCGTGCGTCCACTGGTGATCAGCCCTCTCAAACACGCCGATGATGCTGTTGTAGGTCACCCTCACCATTGGGCAGCTCACTCTGTGCCAAGGCCAAGTGCACGCGCAAAGACACCCTCGGGCAAAATACGCCTCCGAGACTTTCCTATGCTCTTCTCGACGCCTTGTTCTGAATACAAGTCCTCAAGCCAACACTAGAGTCAGCTGACACAGCATCTGTCGCGGTATTGTTAGACAAGCAGCACGTCGGGCTGCAAGTTCTCGTCTTGCATTTGGGCGAAGAGGCCTTCAAGGCATCTTTCTTGGCAATGGAGACGTGCGTTGTCTTGGCTTGGCTATCCGTCTGGCTGCTGTTCCAAACACTCCGTGTCCCCCCTCAGCATTAATGGCAAAAGGGTTCCTAGTCATGCGCATCCGGACTTCAGGGGTCCTGGAGAGGCAGCAGTGTTTCGGATTGCAAGGGTCTGACTTCCGTTCACCTCCTGGCCTGTAGCAAGCTCCCACCTCTCACCATCACAAGCACTGATCACTGTGTTGTAGCTCCTGAGATTGACAGCACCGCCTGCACAACTGCCGGGCTGTTTTTGACTCTTTTGCACTGTCCCAGGTCTGCAGCAAGTATCCGAACGCTGGGAAGCACGCGAAACCACCTGAGATGTTTGGGAAGAATGTCTAGGAGATCATGCGAAACTGACATCTCGAGCATGATAAGATACCCATGTGTCGCATCTCGATTGAAGACTGCCGAGGATCGTCATGGCAGCAAGGAGTTGCAACGCCTGCGCCCACATCTGTGCATTGCCGCATGCGCTTGCAGCTGCATTGTAGCCTCAGATAACAATACAACAACCGATGGAAATTCTCACCGTCTACCCGAGGCTGCGAGGTCAACTGCCAGGTCCCAGCTACATATTACGTTCGGATGGAGATCTCCCTGTCGCATCTCATCGAGAAGCCTTCAGTGGCAAGCTGATGTTCAGCTTCAGCAAGCTGCGTAAGTAGTAGTGACAACTGCAAAGACGAATCAAAGCCTGCCTTCAGACCCTAGACTGCAGACTGTCCGATTGACGCATGCGTCAGTTTATCCAGGAAATCCTTTCATCGGGCTGGAAGATGCGCTGATGTCCGGGCATGGCTACTACCAGCTTGGCAGATGCTTCTCGGCGGGACTTGGTGGATAAATCGGGAAGACCGCAGCGAATACAACGCGGACCCGAGCAGTTGGAGCCCCGCTGCAAACAAGCCAAAGCCTCACAGTGCTCTGTCGCCGGTCTAAAGCCAGGTAGCTGCAGCGCCAATGGCCATTCCGAGCCCTTCGCGCAAGCAGAAATCACGGCGCTGTAACCCACAATGTCCACCTTGCCGTTACAGAATGGTTGGCTTGCATGTGCCACAGCACCTGCAGAACTAATAAATCTCTACATTCGGTCCTTGCCTCAGCATGCGGAGAGGATTTGAGTGTCTCCCAGAGGGCCAATGCACTCTGCCACTGCTTCTCACAAGCGCTAATGGCGGCACTGTAGCCTGCACCAGCCGTTCCCAACGCATGTGACATCGGACGAACACACAGCCACACAGCCAGCTCAATGACTCTGCGACCCTACGCTCCGAAAGAGCGAACTGCTCTCCAACGAGCCTTCCCCTCCTTTGGAGACGCGTGCCCACGACCGTGCTCGGAATCAGACATGCTTCCAGAAAGCCAGCCGAGTGACTGATTGTATTGGGTGAGATGGCAAGTGTCCGCATGTCAGAAAACAGACCTCAGCGATGCAACAAGCTCTTGAACGATTGAGAAAGATTTCGTGTTTTCTTGTTCAGTTTGTTGACAATTCTAGTCTATATTGTCCTCGCTTCCTACGTGTAGCAGCAGCCTGGCCCATGTTGCGTTACTTGGCTGTGATATCTAACTTCGCATCAGGATCAGCACCGAGGCTGGACATGTGCCGTGAGGGAATGAAGGAATTCTTGCAGAGACAGGGACCCAATGCCAGCGCCCACTCTGAGCTTTTTCCGCATGCATTGATTGCTGCGCTGTAGCCTTGCGAGGGCTAGGCAGTCCATCAGCTGCACTGAACACCTTCTAACCCCTCTCTCTGTCAAGATGCTTCAAGGACTGAAGCCTGCTGTCGGACCATGCCATAGCAGCCAGGACGCTCACCACAGCAGGCTGAAGACTGTCTCGCTCCGCCCGATGGAGCAAAGCCAGGGCCTCATTGTTATCCGACTCCCACGAACTTCTGTGCCACATGCAGCACTGCTTTAGAAGCCTATTTACTTGCCCTTTTCATTACGGTTGGTTTCGTAGATTGCCGTACTTGGACCTTTGGACGTCGCTCTGATTCTGTTTTTTCTGCTTAGCTTGCGTGTGCCTGCTTAGTTGCTGCCCCCGCCTTGCCTAATAGCTTGCTTGCCGATGAGCTGACTTCCTTTATCGGAATGGCTTTTCTCAGCATGTTGTCGCGACTGTGTGCGCTTGTTCGCATGTCTTCGCATCGTCTGACATTGATATCGGCTTGCGAACCGTGCCGTGATTGTCTTGATTGTGTTTGTCTTTAGTTGCTTGAGCTCCACTTCTCATGCATCGGTTAGTGTGAAAGGGCCCAACATGTTTAGTCTTCACTCGGGAGCCTAGCGGCTTCTTGCCAGCAGCCATCCTTGCCGCATGCATCCAGTGCGGCGTTGATGCCTGGGTGACAGGGAGATTTGAACCATTACGACAAAAGTAACCAGCGAAGGCCCATTGTTCTGAGCGCTCGTGCCGCCATGAATGACAGAGAAACCGATAACGGTAACGCCAAAACGACATCCGTGGTGACACAAAAAGTACTGCTTCTCGAACGAGTAGCAACATGGAGCCAGCAATGACCTTCTTCGCTTACACATATGAAGCGCGAACTGCTGAACAACAGCGCTGTGACAACTGGAAGCGGATTACGCATGCTGATGAAATGGCTGCACTGCCTTTTTGATTTTCAGTGCCGGACGGTTTCGCAATTGTCAGCCTAGCTGCTGACGATGACGGGCTCGATGCCTGGCACTCGACCGGACTTTATGCAAGCACGTGTAGGGTAACGTGACCTGCACAACCGGGCTCTTGCCACCTGCACCGGCCATACCAGTCCTTCAATACGATGACTCCTCTTATTCAAGACTCTTCATGCCGCTTGTTTCCGCCAAAATAGATAATTGTTCACTGTCCACTTTATACTAAGATGTAATGTCTTTCTGCGAAGGCCTCGTGCTGGCATCTCCTCCAGCAAGTTCAGGGCCTTCTGTCGCTCTGTGGACTGAGCCAGAGCACTCAGCGTGGAGCCTTGGCTCATACTTTTATATCCCGTGCTTGATCCCGCAGTCTGGTACGGCACATTATGGCAGGAAGATGCTGCAATTGCTGCATGCAGGCATGCAAGAATCAGGATGGCAAAGCGCAACTTACGAACAGCAGCTGCATTTGATCGGGGCTGGAGGAGGGGAGAGTGAACAAATGCTCCACTGCATGGGCCATAGTATCGGGGGTCATGGTGCAACTAGCGGCTGGCTCGAAGTAATTTGGAGGTACCCAGACAATGTCTGTGAAAGCACTTACTTCTAGCACGAGGAGTCGCAATGCCCCAAGACACTGAAGCTGTAGACATTGGCTTCGATCTTTCTCTCCGGCATCTCTGCAAGGAGCGCCCTTGGCTTATGATCCGTCTACCAAGCGAAGTGCAAGAAGTGCATGTGCTTTGTCTCGAGGACTCAAGTTGAGCTAAGCCGGCGGCACGGCCCTTTGCCACTGCCCACCCTTCTCGCAGCTGGAGATGGCAGCCGAGAAGCTGTAAACGTTGGGCCTCGGATCGAGAGCTTGCCGCACGAGGTTTTTGGAGAGTCCGGAGACTAGAACGCCAGGGCTGCCAGTCTGCTGAAGGCGCAGAGTGGGCATCTGTGCGAGCAGGCTGAGTGCCGACTCCCACTCGTGGCCCTTTCCACAAGCACCTGCAGCTGGGGGGTATGAGCATGGTTTTCGGCAACTCGCTGATGAGCTGCAGCTGGGGAGCTGATCGCGCTGGTAAGCGTGGCACCTCTAGCAGTCAGCCAGTATCAGCAAGCAAGCAAAGGCGGTGCGAAGAGGTCAGCCGAAGCCGAGAGTTTGCTGTGCTGCGGCCAGGATGCAGGTGGGCTTCAGCCCGCCGTGCTTCAGCATCTGTTCCAGCTTCTGCAGCATCTGTTGCCAAGAAGCTCTTCCATCTGTCCGGGCGACCCGACTGGGGCCGCCAGTCACATGCACTACCGGTACCGCATTGCGGCGCGGCGCTCTTTCGAGCGACATTCCGATCGACAGCCGTCAGAGTCTCGAGGCTGGATGCTGCAAGCGATGTGGAGCATAGATGGCAACTCATGCAACTGCCCCAATTAGCCTGCTCCAACCCGAATCTGGTGCCGATCATGCGAACAAGCCCATGTTCACAACCCGCAATTATGCTTTCTTTGTATGGTATACTTTGATTCGACCTTCAACTTGATCCGGCCAAGACGCTGCAACCCGCCCTGGCCAGCCTGGAAAGTGTCGCCGCCGGCGTCTGATCCGTCAGAGTCCTCGAGGTCCTGCAAACATGCTCTTCAAGCTGCCCTTCTCTCTCAACTCAATCGTGCTGCCATAAGCTTCTATTGTGCAGAACCTGTTGGAGACAGACGTTATGACAGGGCTTCGCAAACCCTGACTGTCGCCTCCAAGTCTAAGAAGTCGGAGAGGAACTTCCCGCCCTTCTCCTCCCCCGGCTCATCATCGTCGTCCTACAGACTGCGAGATTGACTCAGCCTCAGCCTTCAAGCCAGGAGATGAGCCCCGACTTCCACGCTGTAGCCAAGAGCTAAGAGCACACACTTCCACAAAGCTCGGCCGCCCAGCGGCGCCCAGCCCGCCTCGTCGTCCTCGGACTTCAGCGCTTCGGCCTCGGCCTCGCGAAGGCGCCTTCGGGAAGAGCGCCGCGGCTCAAGGACCCAGACTCAGACTCAGACTCCTTTTCGAACCAAGGACACAACACCAGACACAACACCAGACACCACAGGACCCCCCCCCCCCCTTCGCCTTCAGCACAGCGCTGTAAACACATCATCTCCTAGCGCCTTTGCTCTGAGCCCATCGCTTGCAGCGATCATTCTCGAACTCGAGGCCGGCGATAAGGACACGAAGCAACCTCGAAGCCCGGGAAGTTCCTACAGAAACTCTGCCGGCACTCGCTTCAGAGCCGGGCTGATCCGGCAATGCTGCCTGGCAACGGCACATCGTCACATCGTGCCAGATCGCGCTGGCGTAGAGTCCATGAATGCTACGTATGAGTTGAAAGTTGAAACCAACGTGGCTTGCACTTAGCTTGATATCCTACAGTCGCCCACCTCGTTGACACGACAGTTGCGAAGAGGCGACTCCTCCGCTTTAACTCGAATCTTGGCAACATGTCTCGCCTCTACTTAGACGTGACGATGGCAACAGCGGAACAAGCAGCGGCTCTGCATCAAGGCTCAGATCCCTCCCGGTCCGTGAAACAGTGCTCGTGCAATCTGCACATGGCAGACAGGGTCACATTTCGCCTCAGGCTCGCAAGGCAGTTCCAGCCGTCTCCGAACCTGTGCGAAGAGTTAACAATGCAGATGGCGGAATCCCATGATGAGGGCGTGGCGCCCTTTTGGCACGAATGTCCGGCGCCTGGTCACGGACCCCGGCACACTCCAGCGGTTGAGGATGACACAAACACTTCCGAATCAAGTCAAAATCTTGATTGAGAGAGAAGCCGAAGCTGCCGAAGCTCTGGGCTCACGGCACATGTCAGCCACGCAGACCTTTGGCCGCAATGGTCGTGAGTACATGAGCCACTGAGACAGTGATGGCGAGTAGCACAGCATGTGCACTGCAGCAACTGAACAAACTAAACTTGCATAAAGCTCGATTTGACCTTATAGTTGGCAACTTGAACAAGTATGTACATGGAGGCCTGGGAAGATGCTGGAACCGCTTCCATACTGGACGTCCCGAGTTCTAGCAACACACTGCTGAACTCCATTTTAAGCACGGCCAAGTCTCTGGCAACAACAGCTCCAAGCCATTCCTCGCAGGGGAACCTTGCACCTTCACACATACTGTGAAACACTATGTCATGGATGGCTGCTGGGAAAGCGAAGAACATCCTGGCCGTCATCGTCCCAGTAGCAATAGTAGTCGTCGTTGTTCGTAGTATGTCGCAAGTAGCAAGTAGAAAGTGGAAAATGGTAAGTGTTAAGTCGCGTGTAGTCTGTAGCTAGTAGTTGGTAAATTGTATTTAGTAATGGGTGATTGGTATCTGCTCAGCTAGTAGTAGTAGTAGTAGTAGTAGTAGTAGTAGTAGTAGTAGTAGGAGGAGGAGGAGTAGTAGTAGTAGTAGTAGCAGTTAGTAGTAGTAGTAGTAGTACGGGCAGAGGCGTAGGTTTGCCCGCGCCTCTTTGGCTGCATCCACAGCCGCGTCTCTTTTTCGTGGCAGGCGCGGTACCTGCGAGGGGTCCTCCCGAGCTTGTCGGTGCCAAACTTCTGCCCGAACTCCCGAGTTGAAGCTGCGAATGGCTTGTGCGTTTCTGTGCTGCAGTAGGTTTCCCTAAGGAAGGGCTGAGGTTTCGGGGGAGATTGTGCCGGAAAGCTGGCTGCGCGCAGAAGCTGCCTACTGCTACTTCTCGGCCTGATCTTCTGCCAGTCCGAGCCAGGAAATGCTGTTAACAGCATAAGCCTGCGTGGGTGAAAGCTTCAAAACTCCGGATTCCAGCGCGCGTCGATAATTTGCGTGCGCCTGCCGCAGATGATGAGTAGTCGGGGAGGCTCTACACCAGGCTAAACCCCAGACCGAAACGCGGCAACCCAAAAAGAGTAAGGATCTCAAATCCCTGAAAGCCAAACCTGACGTCTGGAATCTTAGACCCCAAGCCGAAGAAGACTGACAGATTTCTGGGCCAACGGTGCCTGAAGTACTCTTCGCAAGCCCGGCTGTCGAAGCAGAGCGGCTGCACTGAGAGAACGAAGTGAAGAAAGCTTGTCTCTCTGCGCGCGCATGCCACCAGATCTCCTGGAAGCAACAACCGAAGAAAAGACGAAACTGTTCAAACCGAGAAATGAAGCTGCCACTTGGTCGGTTTGTGTACGCTGCTACTCGAAAGACTCCGGTCCTGAGCGTTGTTTTAATGTTGCCAAGCAATCCTTCTGCGCAGTTGTCACCAGCAGCCATGATGTAGTCTCGCCCGGACTTCTTGGCGATGTTCTTCGTCAGCGTCCTCTTCCTCGTCTCCGTCTGGCAAGTAGAGGCTGGCAACTTGGCTGTGGGCGTGAAAAGCTTCTGCGCATGCCTCACCCCAGGCAGCAATGGCTTCTGCAAGGCAGCCGCGGCAGCCTTGAAGGCTTGGCCGCCGTCGGGCGCGACAACGCACCCACGACGGATCTGCTTCTGCATGGGACCCAAGACTTCGTCCAGAGACTCGGGTGGCATGCCGCGCTTGCCCAGTGACTGACTTGGTTGCAGAGGAGTTGCCGTCCATTCCTTGCTTTTGCGCCCCTTCAAGACCAACGTCCTGTGTCCAGATACTGTGTGATTGCTAAGTTCACAGTTTGGGAATTCAATGGTGACTAAGGCTAGGGCGTACAAGGCTGAAACTTAAGCTCTCTATGCACGGCGGCCCATGGGAATCAAAGTAGCTGCTTATTCACATGTTTTTGACCTGACTCCATACAACTTCTTCAGTCTCAAGCTCCTGCCCACGTGCGTGCGAGCGGAACCATCTTCTGTCGCCCGCTTCCCGAAGCGCGCACTGTCTGGCTCTACGATGTCGTACTCGAAGCGGACCTGCTGCGCGTGCAGCATTTCGCTGTAGGCCAAAGCGATGGCATGCAGCTGTCTGTATCGCTGCACCTTTTTGTGCACTGTGAGCAGATTCTCGCCCGGCTCCCGGATGAGATGAGCTGTCTGATCTGCCCCGGCCTGACGTCTGAATGGAAGACACAGCGTCTCGCACTTACACTATGCGGCCTTTTTTTTACTTACACTAAGCTGGCTTCCCAGTAGATGTGAAAGATATAATGCATAGGATGATAATGTGTATGTATACGCTTGTATATGTATATGTCTATGTCATATGTATGTCTATGTGTATGTATATGTGCATGTGTATGTGCTTGTGTATGTGTGTGCATATGTATATGCATATGTATATGTATATGTATATGTATATGTATATGTATATGTATATGTGTATGTATATGTGCATGTCTTTATGTCTTGTCCATGTCTATGCATGTGTATGTCTACGTGTGTTGCGTGTCTGCGCATGCGTATTGCGCAGTATTGACCCCTTGCCGTTTAGCTAGGCTGAAGGGCCTGTAAACAGGTTTTGTCTTGGATCTGTACGTATGCACCTGCGCGTGTGTACGTGCGTGTGCGTGCGTGTGTGCGTGCGTGTGTGCGTGCGTGTGTGCGTGCGTGTGCGCGTGCGTACGTGCGTGCGTGCGTGCGTGCGTGCGTGCGTGCGTGCGTGCGTGCGTGCGTGCGTGCGTGCGTGCGTGCGTGCGTGCGTGCGTGCGTGCGTGCGTGCGTGCGTGCGTGCGTGCGTGCGTGCGTGCGTGCGTGCGTGCGTGCGTGCGTGCGTGCGTGCGTGCGTGCGTGCGTGCGTGCGTTGCGTGCGTGCGTGCGTGCGTGCGTGCGTGCGTGCGTCGTGCGTGCGTGCGTGCGTGCGTGCGTGCGTGCGTGCGTGCGTGCGTGCGCGTGCGTGCGTGCGTGCGTGCGTGCGTGCGTGCGTGCGTGCGTGCGTGCGTGCGTGCGTGCGTGCGTGCGTGCGTGCGTGCGTGCGTGCGTGCGTGCTGCGTGCGTGCGTGCGTGCGTGCGTGCGTGCGTGTGTTGGTGTCTGCGTGCGTGCGTGCGTGTGTGCGTGTGTACGTGCGTGTGTACGTGCGTGTGTGCGTGCGTGTGTGCGTGTGTGCGTGCGTGTGTGCGTGCGTGTGTGCGTGCGTGCGTGCGTGCGTGGGTGCGTGCGTGTGTGCGTGCATGTGTGCGTGTGTACGTGCGTGTGTACGTGCGTGTGTGCGTGCGTGTGTGCGTGTGTGCGTCCGTGTGTGCGTGCGTGCGTTCGTGCGTCTGTGCGTGTGTACGTGCGTGTGTGCGTGCGTGTGTGCGTGCGTGTGTGCGTGTGTGCGTGCGTGCGTGCGTGCGTGCGTGCGTGCGTGCGTGCGTGTGCGTGCGCGCTTGTGCGCTTGTGCGCTTGTGCGTGCGTGCGTGCGTGCGTGCGTGCGTGCGTGCGTGCGTGCGTGCGTGCGCGCGTGCG